GACTTGAAATTAACTTTCACCAGCCAAACAAACTCGTGAATACTTTAATTCACTCTGACACATATCTCCAGATGGCAGCCAACAGGGGATTACTAGAAAACTACCAGCAGCAGAAGCAAGACATCATAGAGCCTGAGGCGTTCTTCCCCGTAGCCAAAAACCCCCAAACAGTACACGCAGCACAGCTCGCCGTCTTAGAACTGCTTAAACAGCCAGAAGGAAGTGATGTGTCTTAGCATATTAAAATGTTCGGTGGAATTCATCATCTTTTCAAGCAATCTTTAAGCCAGAGTAGTCTTCATATCCCTGTTAGTCGCGTCGAGAAGGAAGAATGACCATTACACGGTAAGAGTTTTGTCTTGTCCCGGAGCTTTGAACAGCTTTATTCGCCGCTGTATCAGCATAAATAACATCTTTAACTTAATAAATCCGATGTCTTTAAACTGGCCTGGAGTATTGCAAAATTCTCAACAAGCGAAATAAAATAAATGCTGAGCTAAACATGATAAAAGCCGCCAGTGTTCATTCGCCATGTGTATTTCGTTTCGCGAAATGCTCTCAAATGAATGGACCCCTAAAGCTGTTTGCGAGTCGCGCGCTGATTGGTTGAAATTTGAAGACCTGTCAAACAGAGATCAGCAGGTAGTTGAAAAGTTTCATACCATAATTAAATATAAGTTTAGATATTGTAAATGGATAGTACTTAACAGTAAATGTTCCATGCCAGCAAAGTTCTTTCTTTTCAACAATCTCAGGAATAAATTTCTTTTATCTGAGACAACACTTACAAGTACATGTACATGTAACACAATGCGATAGGTAAGTACTTTCCATTAAAGATCTGTCGTAGATTTTAAAAGCAAGTTCAAAAATAAATAATCGCCAAAAGTTAAGTGATTCCTCTTCTGAAAAGCAACCAAGGGTTAGGGTCAGGGTTAAAGGGGACTGCTGTGACAATACATTAGCAAGCAGATCACCAAGAATAAAAATGTTTTTTGGTCATGTACTCTTTCTAGCTTTAACTGCAAAATGATGTTTCCTTGCTCCCTTTTTTTAGGTCAGCCTGAAGAAGATGTTCAGCCAGATGTTGATGCTGTAAGCGTATATTTAGTCTTTAATGAACTAATGACATAAGGTGAATGCAGGTTGACAGGCAATGACAGAGCCAGTTTCACAGTTCTGTATGCGGGTGATGCTCAACTCAGTGGTTCTAGAATATGGTCTGATAGTATCTTAGATTCATCTAGCAATAGCAGTACCCCTTAACATACTGAATAATAATATATTTTATTTTATTTTATATCATTAAGTTACAAAACAATCTCCAAACTGAAGGAAAAGTCAAATGATAATTAACCGAGGTAATAATAGCCCAAACAGAAACAAGGTCCTAGAATTCTTCATTTCATTCTACTTTCAGACCATTCTCAAACAGCTCACAGACATGGGTTTTAAAGAAACCAGAGCTAAGAAGGCTTTGATTTTGAACAGGTTAGTCAATCTTTAGTCATGAAGCAACAAATCGATATTACTGCGAACAAAGTACAATCATGTATGTTCAATGACTTAAAATCTTGCCAGAACTCAGTAGCATGTTATAGCCAGGGGCAGATCCAGAAAGTTCAGAGATGGGGGGCTGACAAAAGTTCCCTGTTATTGCAATAATAATAATAATAATAATAATAATAATAATAATAATAATAATAATAATAATAATAATAATAATAATAAGAGCAACAGCAACAACAATAGTTTATTTGTACCTCATCAAAATAAAGTAGAGTTTGACAAAAAAAAAAGGTACAAAGGTGCAATAACTGTTTCTGGGTTAAAAAACACTAACTGGACAGTTACTTGATCTCAGATTGAAATATTGTAATTTCATTCTACCTGTGTTTCTTACAGAATGTCCCCAATGCTGGCAATGGAATGGCTTTTACAACATGACAGTGATGCTGATATTGATGAGCCATTGGTGCTTGGAGCAAGGGCAGGGAGGACTCGCAGGAAAAGAAAAGAGTTTGTTCCGAATTCTAGGGTGAGTTGCATAATAAAAATATGCCAGATGTTATTGTGAGTTGGGTGTTCAAATTGTACGGTGTTTTAAGCCCTGGTCGAACGGCACATGGTCCATGATAGTCGATGATAGTTGTAGCGGATGAGAGTTGTAGTTGGGCTTCTGTTTGACTACCAACTTAGCTTGTTCCAGGCTCTTGGTCAGTGGGGATGATTGAAATAGTGGGTGGGTGATGAGCGGGATCAGCGACGAGCGGGATCAGTGCTTTTTCTCTACTAGACCCTGCTCGTCGCCCGCCCGCTTTTTCAATCATCCCCTCTGACCAAGAGTCTGGAATAGGCTGCCACCAACTATCATTAACTATCATTCACTTTGAGCTTGGTCAGATTCTCCACGATTGTTGATGATAGTTTTTCCTGTTTGACCACACATATGGTAGTTTGTGATAGTTGACAATAGCAAGGGGAGAATCAACTATTATGTCTTGAGCGTTTGGCCAACACCTTTTGTCTTAGATTGATAGTTGTATTTGTTTTGTATAGCATAGCGGTAGTTAAGAAATTTTCTAATTGTAAATAGTATGGGACTGCTGTTCTTTCATTAGCACATTTGAATATATAATAATAAAAACGAATTTTTTTTCAGTAGTGTATTTAAATAATTAAATCTTCCTCTTTGTTTGTAGGCTGTAAATAACTTGAAAGAGATGGGTTTCCAAGAGGAAGAAATTCTCATGGCACTTAAAGCAACTGGAAACAATCAAGAAGCTGCCGTAAGTTACTGAACAGAAGTTCTTTGTGTATAAAGAAACACCCTGAACCTCAAATGATTATTTTTCTATCTTTTAGCAGTTCCTTCAGTGTATCGAAATTTATACCTAAACATTCAAAATAGAAAACACCAGTTTTTTTTGTAGTGCATTTGAGAAGCTGAGAGCAATAATTAAGGTGATAATGATAAAATTTTATTTTGCTGTAATTAGGTTTTTTTTTTAATGATTGTTTTTGGTTTGTTGGTGCGGCAGTGTGATTGGTTGTTAGGTGATAGACAAGGAGGAATAGTAGATGTCAATGAAGGTCTTGACCAGTCAAGGTATGTAAACTCCGTGGGTTTTTTTTTTTTTCCTTCATGTTATGGCATGAAAACATTTTGAACGATTCAAGTTTTTGGTAACTCGGAAATTAAGGTTATTAGCACTTGCTTATTAAATCTTGTGTTCCTCTCATTGTTTCTTCAGTCCATTGTACCAGGCCATTATGGAGAACCCCCTAGTCCAACTAAGCCTTAGTAATGCCCGAGTATTGGGAGGTAAGTATGAAAAATAGCATAATTTGATGATATACTAGTGCAAAGTTTATTATCACTGTAATTTATCATTACGCTCAAGCCTTATAGCCTAGTGAATGTGCAAATCATCATAAGTGAAGCTGGCATGCCAGTGGGCATTTAGACAGAATACCAAAACATGACTGAATGCTTGAAAAATGTGCTAGTCAAACTTCATTGGGATTTTTAAATCTGTTTTCTTGCAACTTAAAGTTGTTGTGAGGGCTCTGTAAGTTCTCTTTCTCTTTAATTTATTTTTTCATGCGCAGCTCACATAAGATTTATTTTATTGTAATTTTGTTTATCAGTGATACTGGCTTTCTTTTCTCTTCAGCATTTGAGGACATGCTAGAAAATCCATCAACCAGCTCATTCTACATAAATGATCCAGAAACTGGGCCTGTGTTACTTCAAGTCTCTCGGATAGTGCAGGGATTTGCTAGATGATAATGAATCGCGTTACTTAAACTGTAAATAGTGCATTTATAAGCGTAGAACTAGCAATTTCTGCCGTTCCGGCTATGAACCTCAATGTTGCACTCTTTTTCCTCGTCATGTCATCCTGGGAAGAGATTGCGTGACGAAACGAAAGAATCGTTAGCATCGGGGAGAAGTGCGGTTTGCAGTCGGTCAACTGAGCCCACGCTCACTGTTGGTCAGTTAAGTTGCTATGCAACACTAATGCCGTCATTGCCATGATGTGTTCTGATTACATACAGTGGAATCCTGATTCCTTGAACCCCCAGTTTTGCGAACCTCCCGATAGCTCGAACCAAAAGTTGTTTTCCCCTCCTCAGTCAAACACTGTAATTTTACTCCCGATTTCTCTAACTCTCCGAGATTTTCAAACCAATTTTCGTTTCCCTTGGAGGTTCAAAAAATCGGGATTCCACTGTAGTTATGGTTGAAGGAACGAGAGTTTGAGACAGTCTCATGAGAAAACATCTTGCAGGCTCAGCAAGATGGATATTGCCAGGCCCGGTTGTTCAAAGCACAATTAAGCTGAACTAGCAGATCTTTGATTAGCATCAATTTCCATTTTATTTCTAACTTTTGTTATGACTTGACTCAACTTAACTTAACGTAACTTAACTTAACTTAATTTACATTTTAATTCCTCCAATTTTGACGTAAAGTGATCTCAAACTCGAGAAACTTATGCAAAGAAAAACATTGTAACAGAGAGAATTTAAAACCTTGGTCACTTTTTAAATTCCCGGATTAGTGTTAATTAGCTTTCGAAAAACCAGCGGCGTAGGCTATGGTTTTCACTTTGAATGTCGATATTTGTAAGAGGAAAGTCCAATCGTGCCTGGCAGGGAAGATAATGGGTTAAAATAACGATGTAGACGACAAAGACTGATCGCAAAATTGAAGGAAAAAGGGAAGGAAGATTTCAAGCGAGCGATACCAATTTTTACATTTCAATGTGGCTTGAGCAGTTCCTTTTTTACGTCCTTATTCTCGTTTGAGAAACGTTTTTTAAACCAAAGTTATCACTAAAGAAAAAGCGGGAAAGAAGATCTGATCTTCTTGAGATTGCTATGGAAAAATGCAAAGGTTTCTAGTGTTTCTTCCACATTGTTTCTACTACTGTTTCCTCTACAGTGATTCTGCTAGTGTTTCTTCTACATTCTTTCTACAAGTTTTTTTTTTCCTAGGCTCTTGACCCGTTTTGTGTCAAGGTAAATGAAAGAAAATATTTTTTGCATATATTTATACATATTTTGGGTTGGGATTTTAGTAGGTCTTTTTTCATTATTTTGTTGATGAATAACAGAGATTGTTTTGTGGCTTACTTGTGATTTTGTAAGTAGCCTATACTGGCTCTCCAACTGAACTTTCAGCAGATTTTTGAGTATTATAACGCCGAGATAGGCTGAACATAGGCTGAAAATAAACATTGTGAACTGGCCTTTACAGTTCCTATACTGTGTTAAAGTCTCCTGTCGCAGTAATAATTGTATTTTTCCCGATTTTATCGCTGACTCCATTGTAGTCAGAATAGCAACCTGGGAGGGCAACCAACGCTAAAATGGAAACACAGTTTCAACTGAAAAATAAAATGAATTTCCTTACGAAATTCGAAAAAAGCAAAAGTGAATTTTGAAATGGATACAAAGTGCAATTTTTCTCGTTTACAGATAATTTGTCAAATTGTGTGTAAATCAGAAAAATCTTTGCACAGCGCTAAAAGACCTAGGTACGAGTTTTAGCGCTACAGTGTTTTGCAGGACATGTTCGCGCGAGAGATGATACCAAGACAAAGGTTAACTATCTATTCTTTTTATTAATAATAATACGAAAGTTTTCATAGCGCCATTTCCCAAAGGTTCAATGGTGCTTGCAAGAAATTAAATCTATAAACAAATACATACTATAAAAAATTGCAAAAATGTCAAAAACAGATAAAGATTTAAAAAGATATATAATGAAAAACTTCAAGCTGAAAATGCTGGTATAAAAAGCCATGTTTTCAGTTTACTTCAAAAAATGTTCGTAGAAGACGCCAGGTGATCTGGTGACGTCATTGCGCGAGCCCGGAGAGAAAATTTTATTGCCGTATCCCATAAGGCAGCCCGCGCGTAGTCGTGAGTTTGCATTTGAATGATGGCGGTCACTGCCAGTGTGTTGATGCT